AAAGACTTCTGGATCACGCTGAAGGAAGGTAGAAGTTACACGCTGTAGCAGAGTCCTGCACCGGGTCAGGTACTTGCGTACTGTGTTTCAATTAAGTTCATGAGTGTAAAAATCATTTATAATCACTCGTGGAAGTCTGTTTTCTTTTATGCAATTATGCTCTAAGGGCAGCCCTAGTAATATATGTATGGGTTGTTCCTAGTGGGTGTCCAGGGGGAAAGAGTTAAGAAGGATATAAAAGGGTTGTAACTGTAACTGTGTGAGAAAAGTGTATAAAGTTTGTGCTGAGGGGTTTTACACACTTAAAACAGATAGAATCATTGTAAAATATAAAGTTGATACTTCGCAGATTTCACCTATCGCGGGTTATTTTTAGAACATAACCCCGCGATAAACAAGGGACCACTGTAATATAAAAGCATGAGTCAGTGCTGGTGCAGCCCCTGAAGCTCAGTCAGGGACTTCCAGAGGTTCTGGTCTGTCTTTATACTGAGAGTGAGAAAAACTTGGCAGGTGAAGTGTCTGGCAGCACAGGTTCACTTCCATCGGCCTTTACGCGACCTCAAGAAAACGAGGAAGCGAAAAGAACCAGGAAGTGTGACTGGCATGTTTTTGAGCGAGAAGGTCATCTGGTGCCAGCGTCCCCTCCTCACCCTCCTCACCCCCGCCGGCCTGACCCCATGTGGCCCGGGGCGGCATGAGAGCGGGGGGGGGGAGGGGGGGTGCAGACATAGGGCCTATTGTCCCGTCCACAGACACCATCATAGGTCTCTGCCCCTGACGCTGCTGCCGCTGTGGAGCTGCTCCTCCGAGGGGGAAAAGCCAAACCGGGACAAGACCTGAGCCCGGGACCAGGGTTCATGTGAGGGGAGGATGACACAGAAGAGAGAAGAGGGGAAGAAGAAGAAGGGGAAAAGGAAAGAGGAAAGAGGAGAGGAGACAGACTGGTGCAGAGACTCCAGGAGCAAGGTAAGAGCAGAGACAGGGACTAAACCAGGACTAACCCAAACTTGATCTAAAAGTATATAAACAACATCTTAACCAACACGAAACAACAGAATAACACAAATACTCCAACCAAACCAGTGTGTCACAGCTGCCCCGGGGCTGAGTGATGGACCTGTGGCTGCTCAGATGAGGACAGTGTTGAGAAGGTGACTTTTAAAATGTATTTCCCTACAGATTACAGATTACACACCCCAAAATGTAGTTTGTAACGTAATCTATTAAATTACTTAAAGTGAGTAATGTAATCTGAATACTTTGGATTACTTGATTTGCTGTAGAGAAACAAAGACGAGGAAAGATGTTTTGTCTTCTAAAAGAAAGTAAAAAGGCCAAACTTTACTGAACTAAATTAAAAAATATTACTGATAGAAGAGGAGACATGGTCCACGCGGTATGATTTAGCCCTGTTAAATCCTGGTTTAGACCTGGTTTAGTCCTGGTTTAGACCTGGTTTAGACCTGGTTTAGACCTGGTTTAGTCCTGGTTTAGACCTGGTTTTAGACCTGGTTTAGGGTTTACCTGGTTTTAGACCTGGTTTAGTCCTGGTTTAGACCTGGTTTAGACCTGGTTTAGTCCTGGTTTAGACCTGGTTTAGAGCCTGGTTTTAGACTGGTTTAGACTGGTTTAGTCCTGGTTTAGTCCTGGTTTAGACCTGTTTAGACCTGGTTTAGACCTGGTTTTTAGACCTGGTTTAGTCCTGGTTTAGTCTGGTTTAGACCTGGTTTAGTCCTGGTTTAGACCTGGTTTAGACCTGGTTTTAGACCTGGTTTAGTCCTGGTTTATTCCTGGTTTAGTCCTGGTTTAGACCTGGTTTAGAGCTGGTTTTAGACCTGGTTTAGTCCTGGTTTAGTCCTGGTTTAGTCCTGGTTTTAGACCTGGTTTAGACCTGGTTTAGACCTGGTTTAGTCCTGGTTTTAGTCCTGGTTTAGACCTGGTTTGGAGTACGAGTGAAATTTGAGTGAAATTAGAAAAAAAAAAAAAAAAAAAACAAAAAAGGGATATATAGATAATGTAAAAACAAGAAAATCCCACCGTATAATCCATTTATTTCAACCAAGTAACTGTAATCCAATTACCACTCATTGAAACAGTAACTGTAACTGAATACAGTTACTCATAATTTGTACTCTGATTCCGTAACTCCAGTACATGTAATCTGTTACTCCCCAACACTGGATGAGGATAGGCTCAGGAGAGTCAAACTCAAATTCACAGAGGCCAAAATTAAAAATTGGAACCAAGTCGTGGGCTAAACTAAATATTTACTGAAAAATTTCAACAACATCTGCATGTTTTTTCTTCTTTCATGATATGTAATGTTAAACCTTTTCTTATTCAAATAAATGTTTAATAACAGTTTTGCTTAAACACTGAATCCAGAACAAGCAGAATATAAAATAATAACATTTTAAATAAACAATGTCTCTATATATCTATCTGTAGCCGGCGGGCATGATCTCATGGACCAAATATAATTATTTCGTGGGCCAAATTTGGCCCCCAGTCCTGAGATTGACCTGTCTGACTGACATTAAAGCTCCAATATTACACAAAATTGACACTTGTGGGCTTTTCCCTCCTCAAAAACAGAGCTGGAGTTGTGTTTTGTTTCACTCACACATGTTTGAGTAACACTTTATTATTCATCTGTCTACATCTCCAAACCTCAAAATGCTCTGCTCCACCTTGTGATGTCATGAAGCGGTGGTTTTAAAGTAAAGAGCTACATTTTACCTTTAGTTTCGTAAAGTTTGGCAGCTCCAGTTTGCTGAAATGATCCAAATGATTCTAAAGAATGCGTATGGAGTTTAAAAACACAATGAAGCACTTCCTGTATTACCACATGACATCACAAGGTGGAACAGAGTGTTTTCAGTTTGAGAGAAAAGCTCAGCCTAAATGTGCAGGGTTTGTGTGTTAAACATGTGTGAATGAAACAAAACACAACTCCAGGTCTGTCTGTGATAACATAGATAAAAGATGGTATAATATAAAAAAAAAAAAATAATAATAATAATAATAAAATTAAATAAAAACAAACACAGACTTAATTAGATTTAGACTTAAACTAATTTTATTGATCCACAAGGGAAATGATTTGGACACAGCAGCTCACACATCACAATATAATATAATAACAAAGAAAAAACTATATAAATAATAAATAAAACCCGACGCAGTAAAAAAAAAAAGAAAAAAAAGCCGCAGATGTTGTTGACAGTTTGCTCATACGCTCGTCTGAAAGAAAAAACGCTATAAATAATAAATAAGTAAAATAGTACACCGCAAAAAACTAAATCTAGCCAAGTTAAGGTGACTTGAATTATAAAAATTTGATCCTGATTTGAGTAAATTTCACTTGACAAGTAAAATGATCTGCCAGTGGAACAAGACTTTTTGTACTTAAAATATTAAAACACGTCTTGCTACACTTAAAAAAAGAAAAACAACAACTTATTGCACTTTAAATATGAAACAAAAATCGAATGTTGCTTGAATTAAGAAAAACACACTTATTCCATTGGTAGAATTGACTCATGAACCTAGACATCACTTTTTGTAGTGTAAAAGAGAAATATTCAGACTTGTGCCACTTGTGCCACAGCTCTGCATTCATCATCCAACAATACACACACATACACACACACACACACACACACATACACACACACACACACACACACACACACACACACACACATACACACACACACACACACACACATACACACACACACACACACACACACACACATACACACACACACACACACACACACACACACACACACACACATACACACACACACACACACACACATACACACACACACACACACACACACACACACACACACACACACACACACACACACACACACACACACACACACACACACATACACACACACACACACACACACACACACTGTGCTCTGGATCAGGGATGCACTGGAAAAAAATATTTTTAAAAAGAAAAAAATTAATAAATACACTTATAGGGAGTATTATCTGTTTCATGAGGGTGAGTTGTTGTACAGTTGTAGGGAGTATTATCTGCTACATAAGAGTGAGTTGTTGTACAGTTGTAGGGAGTATTATCTGTTACATAAGGGTGAGTTGTTGTACAATTGTAGGGAGTATTATATGTTACATAAGGGTGATTTGTACAGTTGTAGGGAGTATTATCTGTTACATAAGGGTGAGTTGTACAGTTGTAGGGAGTATTATCTGTTACATAAGGGTGAGTTTGTACAGTTGTACAGGGGAGTATTATCTGTTATACAGTGTTACTGTTATAAGGGTGAGTTTGTTGTACAGTTGTAGGGGGAGTATTATCTGTTATAATAGGGTGAGTTGTTGTACAGTTGTAGGGAGTATTATCTGTTATAATAGGGTGAGTTGTTGTACAGTTGTAGGGAGTATTATCTGTTATAATAGGGTGAGTTGTTGTACAGTTGTAGGGAGTATTATCTGTTATAATAGGGTGAGTTGTTGTACAGTTGTAGGGAGTATTATCTGTTCCATAAGCAAAGCAGATCTTCATGGCAAACCCTCCACTAGAAAAGTGACACAATGCAACTTGAAGTAAATTTGCGGTACTTTACCTCAGTAGAGTACCATTATTTCAAAACCACAGATCTCTATTATTGATTAAACCTGTTCCCTGTGGTCATAAAAAACCCGACGCAGTAAAAAAAAAAAAAAAAAAAAAGCCGCAGATGTTGTTGACAGTTTGCCCACACGCTCGTCTGACTGGCCCGTTCTTGCTTCACTCTTCATTCCTGCTGTGGACAGGGGCGTGCTGGGACCGGCTCTGAATGAGGAAGCGGAGAGCGTGCGTGGGCGTGGCCTGTGTGTTTGGGGGCGTGGCCTGTCACACAGTAGCAGCAGCAGCAGCAGAGGAGAAGGAGGAGGAGGAGGGGGAGGAGGCAGAGGCAGGTCGGAGGTTAAAACCCCAGGTCCGGTTCAGCCCCTGTCACACCAGGACAATGTACACCAACGCGGTGCTATTGTGGACCCTGCTCCTGTCGGCCCTGCACGGATCAGGTGAGTCTCTCTGTTTCTGGGTCACATGGGGAGAGGCTGAACTAAAAAGAAATACACGTTTAAACAGGTCGTAGTCTAATGGAGCTGCTTTCATTTTCACGTGTTGATTTTTGTAGATCAAATTTACTCAGATTTAGATTTTAACGGTCCACAAAGGAAATAATTTGGACCCAGTAGCTCACACAATATATAATTTATTATTTCTTTGTTTATTTGAGCCATAAGAATGAAAAATGTAAGTATTTTTTGTTTTTGTTTATGGTCGTACAAAATAATAATAGTAATGAAGAAGGTACAAAGTTTGTCATTTATGATCATACAAAATAAACAGTAATGAGAATGAAAAATATAAGAATTTTTGTTTTTGTTTATGATCGTACAAAAATAAATAGTAATGAGAATGAAAAATTTAGGGATTTTTTTGTTTTTGTTTATGGTCGTACAAACTAATAATAGTCATGAAGAAGGCACAAAAGTTTGTTGTTTATGATGATACAAAATAAACAGTAATGAAAATGAAAAATTTAAGAATTTTTGTTTTCGCTTATGATCGTACAAAAATAAACAGTAAAGAGAATGAAAAATGTAAGTATTTTTTGTTTTCGTTTATGGCTGTACAAACTAATAATAGTCATGAAGAAGGCACAAAAGTTTATCGTTCATGATCGCACAAAATAAACAGTAATGAGAATGAAAAATGTAGGGATTTTTTGATATAATAATAATAATAAAGAGAAAATACAGAAACGGTAATAATCAATTCAGAATAAACAGGTCGAAGTCTAATGGAGCTGCTTTCATTTTTACGTGTTGATTTTTGTCGATCAAATTTACTCAGACTTAGATCCACAGAGGAAATGATGTGGACCCAGTAGCTCACACAATATATAATACAATATATTTCATTTCATTTCATTTATTTGTTTGAACCAGGTACAACAAAATTTTAAAAACCAGTAACAAAAATAGTGTTATGTACATGACATATTTGGGACCTGGTGCTCAAAAGGAGTAGGATGAAGTTTAAAAAGCGTATAGTGTCCTACCCCAACTGTTTCACATAATCACATGGTTCACCTTTTTTTTAATATCACCTTACATACATATCACCTACACACATATACACATACATATCACCTACACACATATACACATACATATCACCTACACACATATACACATACATATCACCTACACACATATACACATACATACACACATATACACATACATATCACCTACACACATATACACATACATATCACCTACACACATATACACATACATATCACCTACACACATATACACATACATATCACCTACACACATATACACATACATATCACCTACACACATATACACAAAAACATATTCACACATACATACTTACATACATACATGTACATACACGCATACATACATACATACATACATACATATACATGTACAAATACATACATACATACATACATACATGTACACACATACATACATACATTTATATATGCATCATATATATCCAGTAAATATACTCAATATAAATGTTTATACACATCTGCATAACACACATATACATACATACAGAAACATATTTTCGTTTATAGTCATACAAACTATTAATAATGTTATCGTAGGCACAAAGTTTAGCGTTTATGATCTTATAAAATAAAATGTAATGAGAAAGAAAAATTTAAGATTTTTTTGTTTTTGTTTATGGTCGTACAAACTAATAATAGTAATGAAGTAGGCACAAAGTTTATCGTTTATGATTGTACAAAATAAACAGTAATGAGAATGAAAAATGTTGGGATTTTTTAATATTATAATAATAAAGAGAAAAAATAGAAATGGTAATAATCAATTCAGAATAAATAACAAACATAGCAACATTGAAAAAAATAAAGTCTGATATTTACTTGAAAAATCCTAATAACCATTTGCACTTGCAGTTTTTGAGTAAATGTTACCGCTGTAGCTGAGTTGGTAGAGCGTTAGTCTGCTGATGCAAAGGTTGGCATTCAAATCCTGCTCTCGATAAAAAAAAAAGGTGTGTGAATGAGTGAATGGTTCTTTGATGTAAAGCTTTGAGTCTTGCATGTGGAAAAGCGCAGTTTAAAACTGTGACCATGTGATGATATCCAAGTCTCACGGTACGATATTTATTGCGATATTATGGGAAAGTTCACGATATGGTGTGGAGGCTCATGATTAGGGATGTAACAATATCCAAATCTCTCGGTACGATATTTTCATGATATACATCTCACTGTAAGATATTTATTGTGATATTTTGTGGAGGGTAACAAACAAAACTGTAAATATGCTTCTTTTTCCTCTTAAAACGCCTTGACAAGACTTAATCCAAAGACTTAAAAGTGTTAGAACTGTTATTTCTTCTTGTAGTTTACACTGAAATGGAGCAAAGGATCATGGTCTATGTAGTTCCTCTTGTCTTTTTTTAGTTATTTCTGCACCATAACTCTTCATTTAAGCAAAGAAACTTGTAATTTGATATATTGTGATGGTCCATGATATTATTGTGAGAACTTTGACGATACAATATATCAGTTATTGTTACATCTTTATTTATTCTACATCAGTAAATACTAGAAACAATATATTTACTTCATTATTTCATCACAGCAATGCAATTAATTATGACCATATTTGATGGATTTTAATTTACATAAATACGACTTCTAACTCAAAAAAATGACTAACAGTTACTCAGTAAAGTCATGTCTGTTAGTCATGGTCGGGGTGAGTACATTTTACTTAATACTGACAAGTAAACTGAGCCTGATATCCTCCTGAGACCCGGCCCATTTATTTATGTCCTTTATAGTGGAGTTAACCAGTTTATCTTTTAAAGGTTGTATGGAGGATTTTTTTTTGTTTCAAACTGTCAGTGGAAGATTAAAATACCATTACAGAGACGCAGCAGCTTTGTAATTATGATGAAAATCTATCAACTGTGGACGTAGTGAGGCCAGATAAAGATCAGCCAATAGAAAACGAGGCTCCCTCATTTTCTATTGGCTGTTAGGTTGTCAATCAAACTCCCTAGTAAAACTGACTCGTCGGAGTGCAGGGATTACGTGGTTTACGCAGCGGTTCTTAGAGGCTTTTTCAAACTGTCGCTTCCTCGCATTTCGCACAAAGTTTGTCGCGACGGTGGACGAGAATCCACGACCGGTTCGCCGCAAAAGAAAGTCCGTTTTTGAGATCGCTTCAAGAAGAAGAGAAGAGGAAAAGGAGCAAAGCCAAACTGAGGTGATTCTTGGAGATCTCGTCCAGCGATGGCGTGACCGAAGCAGACGAAGGGTCTAAAAACTGACGCGTCGGCCGCTGAATTACTTCTAGACAGGAAACTTCAACAGTAATTCTGAATGCGCACAAGGACTGTCGCTGTTTTTCTCTTCCCTTAAAAAAATCCTCTATACAACCTTTAAGTGTTTTGAGAGGTCTGCCTGCCTAAATAGGGTTAGGGGATTATAAGGTACTATCATGTCCGGCTCTCCTGGGAACGCCTTGAGGGCCCCCCTGGAGGAGCTGGAGGAAGTGTCTGGGGTGAAAGAAGTCTGGGAGTGCCTGTTTAGAGGACTGCCCCATGACCCAGCCTCAGATAAGTGGATGAAAATGGATGGATGGGTCATGTCCAGAATAAAAAAACAAAAACAAACAAGAAAAACAACAACAACAAAAAAAACCTCAATAGGAGTTAGTCTGTGGTTGCACTATGATTAAAAAAAAAAGAAGAAGAAAAAATTAAATCAAAAGGGAGTCTAAAAACATTTTAAGTAGACTGTAGAAGCTTGTTAGAGGTGTTAGTCATCAAAAAAGTGATTTTGTTAGGTTGGATTTAACACCAAAATGTCTCCAGCATCTATTACTGAGGATGAAATTATTAAAAATAAAATAAAAAAAGAACAAAATCTAAATGCTAAGGTGCTCATTTACCTCCAAATAGATAGAAAAATCACAAAAAATATAGATTGCAATACATTTTTTTTCTTCGAGTCTCAGGAGGATATTACAGCAGTAAATGTATTTAAAAAGTGCTCGTGCAAATTGTTTCGAGTAAATCTAGTAAAGTTCTTTTTTTCAGGGAAGAGACTGGTGTCAGATAAGGCATAATTATATAAAAGTAGATGTACAAGTCTAAATCAAATATAGAAATATAGTCTTACAAATACATCTCATTTATATACAAGAGTTTGTGAGGATATATTTACATTTACAAGAAGTAGTCACAGGTTGATAAGACTGTTGCCATAGTGATTAACAATTTAAAACAATTGATTTTTCTGTTTACAAGAAAGTAGTTTCTGGTTTCAAAATGCAAACAACTCATGACTGTTGCTATAGTGATTAACAATTTCAAATAATTAACTTCTTTTTTACATATTGATTTTGGTTCTTTGTAGATCAAATTACACAGAAATTCGTAAACTGTTGCCATAGAGATTAACAATTTAAACAGTTGTTGTCCTCCTGTTTGTATTTAGATTTTTGTTCTTTGCCGATCAAATGTATTAAAAAGTCGTCCCTGGTTGCAGAATGTAAACCAAATATGATTGTTGCTATAGTGATTAACAACTTAAAACTATTGTTATTCGGTTTATGTACTGAGTTTGGTTCATTGCAGATGAACAGAAATGTGAATCTGACCAGGACACGGGCACTGGGGTAAGAGGTGCAAATAGCTGACACAGGGTGGTGCACCACAAATATTTTAAGAACCATAATACAAAAAGGAATCGACACATGTACAGTGTAATATTAAAACAGTTCAAATGTAAGTCACTGTAAGAATAATAACAGTTCAGTTATTATTTAAAAGTTTCTGGGTTGGGCTCCCAAAGGCTTCATGAAAATCAGAGTTTGAGGAGCGCTGCTGGGTCTTTCATTAGTTTTTTTTAAGGACATTCGCTCAAAATTAGAGCTCATTTAGTTGTACTTTATCATACATTTGGTCCCGGTCAAGCAGAAGTAAACAG